CAAGCTCCAGAATGTTGAGAGCTCTTCCCTGGACCTTATCTCCCTATTCTATCCTCCTTATGGTGTAGAATGAGGGAGGAGTCCATCAAGTCTCCTCACCTTATGAGGATGGTGCATGAATGAGACAAGGAGGGGTGTGGTTTGTCCCCCCAGCTACCCTCTCCTTCATAAGTCCGCCCAAGCCATGTTAGGATGCCCCATTCCCATTACTCTGGTCATTCAGCACCCTTAAAAACGTGGGGTGGCCCCCACTTATGTGGGAGGTCATCCCATTATGTCCCGGTATGTATAATCGGTCCCGAAAGTTGTATTTTTCGGACTACTTTAGTCGTATTTTATTTTATCGGGCCGGGCAAAATATATCACGTGTTCCTAATAATTATGGGCCTTTAGAATAGATGTACATTCCCCAACATTAATTTAGGAGTCTCCGAAACTCATTTCGGGCTGTTATCCGTTAAATTACCAATACCGGTAATTGGGCCCCGTTTGACCCACCGGTCAACCTCATGCCTTTCTTATGGCCCAATTAAAATATCCACCACCATATACATATTATCTAGGCCAAGATGAATATAATATGTGGTTCGGGAATTATCGGGCGGTCCCCGTTCCCGCTGTGGGCCCCACATGCAATTTACTATTCACGTAAAAGAAATAATAAAATTTACAATTACGCAAATTCATAAATCATCTTTCAAGGTTTATTACATAGTTTACTAAAAGTAAATATGATCGGGGTCGGTGTTACAAGTAGTCATAGTCATCAAATAATGATGGCTAGGAGAAAGGTCGAGCATTCATCCATAATATGATGTATGTGTCATCAAATAAAGATGACCGAGATATGTGGCCGAGAGGCCTATATAAACTTCATGTCATCAAATAAAGAGGACCAAGAGGTCTGTCAGATTTCTGCCGCCGCCCGCCATCTGTCGGTGCCGCCGCCAGAATCCGCAGTTGCCTCTGTAACACCCGCCCCGTAGGGCATGGGGTAGTTACCCCACACACCCTTCAGACCTCTCATACTGTCCTCACAAACCACCACTAGCCTTTTCCGCTCACTTTGTCCTCACTTGTGCGCGCCCTGAGAAACTTCCCAGGGGGTCACCCATCCCAAGACTACTCCCCTGCAAGCACGTTTAACTTTGAAGTTCTTAGCTGATGAGCGTCCTTAAAAGGAGATGCACATTGTTGGTATGAGTAGTACTATTAATCCATTTCAATTAAATCTCAAGTGTTACAACCTTTGCCGCCGCCGCCGGACTGCGCCTTCTACCAACGAACTGCCTTGGTTGTGCAAGACAACTAGGGGGCAATTAATGGGGTTAATTAATTAACTCAATTGGGGTAAAAATGGAATGATTAGTCCTATTTAGGGAAAATCAAACATTGAGCCTATTTTGCGGAAAAGCTTATGTTTTTGTCTTAGGCTATGTTTGGGAGTCAGAAGTCCATGACTTCTAGTTTTTGTACTATTTAAAAAATCTGTAAAAGCTTCTAATTGTATGTTTGACATGCCAATTTTTAAGAGTTTTTATAAAAACAAAAGATCTTTTATGAGATGCTATTGTGAGTAGCATCTTAGATAAGTATGTAGCTTCTAGCATTAATCAGTCCCAACAACTTCTATACCAAATAGAGCTAAATCAAACACTCAACTTTTTATCAAACAACTACTACATTTTCCTTTTAAGGTCTTTTCAATCACGAAGAGCTAACAATTACTAAAAAGCTTATAAAAGTATCTTTTCAGCTACTTGTGTCAAACATACCCTTAGTCATGACAATTTTCTCATGCCCTTAGTTCTCCACATTAAAGATCCAACCAAAGTTTTTTTTTCAATACTTGATCCTACCCTACTCATCCATATATTGCATGTTGGTCAGTAGCCAACTCAAAGAAACAATAAAGGCTAAAGGGTCAAATAGACCCTCGAACTAACTTAAAAAGTGCAAATCACTCCTTATATAGGAGGCTATGACCGGCCGTCGCCATTTGGGGATGTTCCCGATGGAATTTTTTTGAGCATCTTCTTCATTAAGGCTAATTTACACACACCAAATTTCAGATAAAAATTCAACCGGGAAGACAATCAAATGATTTTCTGAAATGTATTGCGCTGTTTAACTGTGTAGTTATCTTCAAAAATTCATTTACTTGCCTCGATTTTTTAGCCTTAATTTGGTATGAGTAAACAAGACTTAATGAAGAAGATGTTCAAAAAATTTCATCAAAAAATTCCACAGGGAATCGCCCCAAATGGCGACTCCGAACATAGCCTCCTATATAAGGGGTTATTTGCATGTTTTAAGTTAGTTCGAAGGCGTATTTGATCCTTTAGCCAATAAAAAATTATAAGGAAAACTGTCAAATAAGCCTCAAAGTATATAAAAAAAAGTCAATTAAACCCCCGAGTTAAATAAACACTCAATTAGACCCATGAACTTTAGAGAAACACTCAATGGTGTACTTTAACCTCTTAACAACGGGTTAGCCGGTTAGATTTATTTTAAGCCAGTTGAAAAACAGTCCACGTGTCCGATTTCATTGAAGTGCTTATGCCGTGGAACCGGTGCATGGTGAGCACTATGCACCCTTTGTTATTTTTTATTTCTCCTTTTCTTAAAATTGTTAATAATTTTTTTTATTTTTGATCCGATTTTTACAAAATTTATATCAAATTTTTTTATTTTTCATGATCTTTCAAATGAGACTAATATTGCCTATGTAATTTTAATTTTTTACATTCATACATTTTTTTGTAATATATTTTTATATGCATACACTTTCTATAATATATTTTTTTATCACTTTTATATGTTTTTAGAGGTTTTTAAGATATTGAGTTTGTTTATTTTGCTTCTAGCTTGGAGTTACATTTGATAATATACGAAGTTACATCATCTTATACTCTAGTTACAAGTTATTATGTGTGAGTTACATCTTGTTATGTGTGAGTTACATCTTGCTATACACGAGTTACATACTTTTATGCGCGAGTTACATGTAATTATGTGTGAGTTACATCTTGTTATGTGTGAGTTACATCTTGTTATACACGAGTTACATACTTTTATGGGCGAGTTACATGTAATTATGTGTGAGTTATATCTAATTATTTGTGATTTTTTATTTACCTTTATCTTGAACTAATTCAATTATAATTGAATTAATTTTTTTCTTTGCCAATTTAATACAAAATTTTATTAATCCACATAAAATAAGTATATTGTATTTCATATTCATACACTATTTTTCAAATGATAAAAATGAAAGATGTAGCAGGGGTTTATTTCATGGTGTAACTCACATACATTAAGATGTAACTCGTGTATATTAAGATGTAACTCGCGTACAATAAGATGTAACTCGCGCAGAAAAGATGTAACTTCATTATATATTATCAAATGTAACTTCAAAATAATTTGTTAAAATTACATAAGCAATATTGGTCTCATTTGATAGATCATGAAAAATAAAAAAAAAATTGATATAAAATTTATAAAAATCGGATATCAAATAAAAAAATTATTACAATTTTTAACAATAAAAGAAATAGAAAATAATGGAAGCTGCGTCGTTTTGGGATAGGGCGCACCATCTTCATGTTTTTATCTTTTCACCTTTTTATAAATTACCATTTCATTGTTTCACCTTTTTATCTTTTCTTCCACCTCTTGTTTGTTTCTTCCAAGTTCCACCTGCCCCACTATCCCCTTTTAGCCCTGCTACTTCCTCCTAAATTTCCTCCCAGCCACCAACTAGTCGGGTCTCCAAGAGCGCACCAGAGAGCTCCAACCTCAAATGGCATGGTTCCAGTGAATGAGAAGCTTTCCTATCTACCTTGAAGCAAGTGATTAGCGAGGAGGGCTTCAATTGCTGTCGTTATCATGTGCTGGGCCCTCAGGCACTGCTGCACGTTGAGGAGGAAGGAGGATATACCCTCCCCTCCGTTGCCACTGCCGGCGAGGACAAGTGATGAATCCTTTGATGTAGTCACCGCCGAAGTGGACTGGCCATTAATGGCGGCTCGGCGGATTCCAATGGTGACCATCGCGGTCGTGGAGTGAGGTGGACGGCGCTGTGAGAGAGGTGGTGAAACTCGTACTTGGGGTCGACGTTCGCCAGTCGTCGCTCCAGAATGTCTCGGGTCGCCATTAAGGGTGAATCACGCGAGATCTGACGCGTCCGGAGATTTGGATAGAAAATGGTGGAACCGAAGATGAAAGAACAATGGGGGAGGGAAGGCCCTGCCGCCCTGTGGGAAGATAGGACATCAAGAAAAAAAATTGAGACCTTCTGCCATGACTGAAGACTCAAGAAGAAGAAGGAAAGAAAACAAAAAAGAAAATAAAACTAAATAGTGAAATCGACATGAACCGGCCGCATAGACATACTAACCGGCTAACCGGTTGTTAACAAGCTAAAGTACATAATTGAATGTTTTTGCAAAGTACACGGGTCTAATTGACTAAATTGAGTGTTTATTTAGTTCGAGAGCTTAAGTGACAATTTTCTCTAAATTATACTACCTTCGTCTCATTTAAAGATTCTCGTGTCAAAATGACACAATTATTTAGACAATAATTAAATATGCTAATTCGAATATATTTTGAGAAATAATTTTGCTGAGTATATAATATAATATGTTATTAATGATAACTTTGATTTTATAAATGTATTTTTTTAGTATTTGATGATCAAATTGTCATTTAAGAGTGCTAATTGTTTGCTAAAATAGGAAGCGAGAATATTTGGGTGAGGCGTCGGCCTATAAATTATACTCCCTCCGATCCTTATTAAAGTTCTCAGTTTGACTTCACACAGATTAAGAAAATAAATTTGACTTTAATGTGGAGTGCACTGTTTGGCACTGTTTGACACTATTTGAATACTGTTTAACACTGTTTGGCAATGTTTTACGTTGTTTTATTTCCTAGGACGGAAGTGTGAACTTAATTAAAGGAAAGCTACAACTTTTATAAGGACACGGGACCGGAGGGACTATAGGCGAGAACTCAGTGCAATTTCGTCCTTGAAACACCAAGGCGACGGATAGAAGAAACGCGTCTTCTGTCCTCTCCCTCCCACGTGAGTACTGAGTACGTTCTCGAGAGTCTTCTTCAATCTTCACCCACACAGTGTAGTTACTATTTGGAATTATAATCATAGGCCCTTTGAAGGTTGAAAAATTGAATATGGTGAGGGCGGTTGATTGTTCTGAGTGCCCGGGTTTGCGTGGAATCTTAGTTGTTGAAGCTTATCCAAAGGGGTACTCTTCCAAAATCCCATCTGATTTGGTCCTTTTCTTGGGCCTTGGATTCATAGATTGGTAATATTCGGTTTTGTTCATTGATACCTATATTTATATTGGAGATACAAAAGGAGGGGAAATCTGAGATCCAGAGATATATGTTTCTATAGGATTTTCAAGAAACGGCAGTGGTTTCAATAGGTTCGATTCGGTACTCCCCCACCTGTTTGTTTAAAGGGTGTAAGGAGATTCTTGAATCAGGGATGTATCTGCTCTTTTCCATCTTTCCCTAGTTTTCTTTTTCCCTTTTTATTAATCTGGGTAGAAACACATGCTTTCTCACCATCTTTGTTGGTCCTTGTTTTTAATAGTAGCAGTTGTAGTTTAATCATCCGTAAATCTCACTCTAGTTTGAGAGGGGAAAAGAAAAGAAAATTAAAAAAAGACCCAGGCATGGTGTTATACAACCTATTGATTGTGGATTATTTCAATTCGGGAGTAGTGGTGGCTGTGGAGGCAGATGAAGTCCGGGAAGCTGTGATTTAAAGATTAGCCTTTAACTAGGCAGCTGATCTTCAATTACGGTTGATAATAATAGCTGATGAGATGGGTGGGGATATTCTTCTCACAGCCCTGTCAATGGAGAATCACTGTCACCCTTCGACCCTCTTGTCCATGGATTCCAGTGCCTCCTCTTCGCACGATGATCTAGAACTCGAAATGAACCGCCAGGTCATCATAACCCGTCCACCCGACATCAATTTACCTCTATCAGCCGAGCAGAGCCCTCCTCCGCACCCATTGTGGAACCTCGAACAACAACAATGTGAGATTCTAGACGTCGGGTTGGGAACCCAAACATATGAAACCACTGAAAGCTTCCTGAATGTGGTGCCAAAAATGGTGGTGGGTCGGAAATGCGCAAAACGAGTTGATAGCATCTGGGGCGCCTGGTTCTTCTTCAGCTTTTACTTCAGGCCGGTTCTCAGCGAGAAGTCAAAAGCGAAAGTCGTGCGGGACAGTAATGGGGTTTCCGGCTTTGATAAGTCCGACCTCCAACTGGACGTGTTCATGGTCCAGCACGACATGGAGAACATGTACATGTGGGTGTTCAAGGAAAGGCCAGAGAACGCGCTGGGCAAGATGCAACTGCGGAGCTACATGAACGGACATTCCCGCCAAGGAGAGCGTCCTTTTCCGTTCAGCGTCGACAAAGGCTTTGTGCGGTCCCATCGGATGCAGAGGAAGCATTACAGGGGACTGTCGAACCCCCAGTGTGTCCACGGGGTTGAGGTCGTCCACTCGCCAAATCTTATGGCTGTCCTAGACGAAGAGGATCAGAAGAGATGGGTGGAGCTCACGGGACGGGACCTTGACTTCACCATCCCTCCCGAAGCAAGTGATTATGGTTCATGGAGAAACTTGCCAAACACCGAGTTTGAGCTTGAACGGCCCAACCAGCAGCCTCCTTCGAATACTAAGTCTAAGAAATTGTTGCAGTCACTCAGATGCTCCTCTGTTCTTAACCTGGCTACTGCTACTCAACCGCCTTTGAACCACACTAACGGTGATGCCATGGATATTTCACCTGACAGCAGCAGCAAGAGGAAAAAGGACATGTTGTTACCCCAAGATGTATGTTATCTGCCTGAATCCTCTGATCAGATGACGGTGGCTGACTTGGAAGTGGGTCACCACCCGCACTGGTTGGATGAATTTAGTGGGGTTATGCGCGGTGTGTATGGGCCCGTCACGGGTGCAAAAAGCATTTATGAAGATTGCGAAGGGTATTTGGTCCTAATCAGTCTCCCGTTTGTGGATCCTCAGAGGGTGAAAGTTTCGTGGAGGAACACACCTACACGCGGCATAGTCAAGGTAACTTGCACGAGTGTATCTTGCATGCCGTTCATCAAGAGGCAGAAAAGGATGTTCAAGCTTACGGACTTGTCTGCTGAACACTGCCCTCCGGGAGAGTTTGTGAGGGAAATCCCACTTTCTACCCGAATCCCTGAAGATGCTAACATAGAAGCTTACTTTGATGCTTCGGGGACGGTGCTTGAGATTCTGGTGCCTAAGCTTCAAGAAGGATCGGAAGAACATGAAGTGCGGGTTTGCCTTCATCCCCACCTTGGTGGCAATGATCTTATTTTGAACTAGAGTGAAGAAGTGCATACCTTCAAGGCTTCAAGCAAAGAAAGGGTGCCAGTCCCTTGATTCATTGTTGCTAAGCACCTGCTGCTATTATTGTTATTATTACAATTATAGTTATAATCGCTGTTGTTATTCTATTCTTATTCTTCTTCTTATTATTATTATTATTATTACTTTTATTAGCATAAATAAATTAATAAAACACATGTATAAGAAGCTGTACATGCAAGCTGTGTAATATTCCAGTTTCACACCTTAGACGGTAGGCAACTCTGCCTAAAACAGAGTTCTAGTTGCTGCTGAAATATGATTTGTTTTTAGTTTGTGGGTGAATGGAGTCTATTCTTGCCATTTCAATACGGAGTATGTGCATGGGTTTTTCCTTCCCTATGCCCGCTATTTGAATAGAAAAAATGGCCAAAATATTACTTCTAGGGTTTGATTGGACACAAATATGACTAATTTTTGGAAAGACAAAAAAGTGACCCATGGTCTGAATACTTGAAGCGCTTCACTTTTCTTCTTCGCAATTGTACGTAGCCATCAAATTGAAGGAGAAGACCCAGACCAAACCTTTTCTTCGCTGCTGCCGCCACTCTCATGCCACTGTTGTTGTCCCGTAAATCTTCTTCTTCTCATTTTTCCTTGATCGCTTGCAACCAAAACTGGTTAGCTTCTCCACCACCTGCAACTAAAATTGATGGCTTCTCCATTGTCTTCGATGGACGTTCCTCCGCCGCATCTGTCTTCCTCAATGGAGTGCCATCAGTACCGGATATGCCATCCTCGATGCACAACAACTCCGATTTGGGGCCATCGGTGCACGATTGCCAACCTCGATGTACGACGACTCCGATTTAGATCGTCGGTGTCGGATCAACTGTTGTCGATGTAGGAAAGGGGCCTCAGCGTAGGTAGGGGTGGGCAAAAGTACCGAACCGGTATGGTACCGGACCGAGAAACGTGATTTGAAACGGATCTCAATTTTTTTGTCCCGAACCGGACCTACTTGTTCCAAACAATGCCATGACCGGTTCTCATAAAATGAAAACCGGTATCGGACCGAACCGGATCGAAGTATGATTTAGTTATTTAAATTTACATTTATCCCATTACTTTGACTAGTGCATTCGTACTTTCACAATCTACTAGTTCACTGGAAGTTTGGAACCTGACCGAAGTATGGTTTAATTATTTAAACTTGTACTACTATGGTTTATCTGAAATTTATTAATTATGTAAAAGTTTTTTTGAAAGTTATTTATTGTGTAATATGAAAATTAATAAATTATGTGATATTTAGAGGATAGCTAAACTTTAATTTTCTCTTAAACAATTGAAAACGTGGTATTGTTTGGTATTGTTATGACATGTTGTCGCCCCGTTTGAAAATTGAATCGTACCGAACGGGTTTAGGTCTAAGACCGAACCAAACTGAATTATTTCAATAATCACGGTACGGGTTCGGGTTCGGTAAAATATTGGACCGGGCCGGACCGTGCCCACCCCTAAGCGTAGGACATGCGGTGGCGCTGGGGATAGGGAGTGGGGGTGGCCTGTGGGGGCTTGGGAGCTGGTGCTGAGGGCTAGGGGCAGGCTGGTGGGGCTGGGGTTTGGGGTGTTGGGTCGTGGGGATGGGGAGGTGGTTGGGGGCTTGGGAGTCAAGCCAGGGGTGGGGCGGTGATCGGAGGCGGCGGTCCATGGTGATTGTCAGCGACGGCGATCTGTGGTGATGGTCGGCGGCGGCGCTAGGGCGGGGTTTGCTGGGGACGGGGCCAAAGGGGCTGTGAGGAGCAGGGGAGGGATGAGCTGTGACACATGAGACGACGAGTCACTGTGGATGGAGACGGCGTGTCACTGTTGCCAGAGTCGGTGTGTCATTGTGGCCGGTGGGGGGCAGTGCCAGAGTCAGTCACTATAGCCGTTTGGCGGACAATCATTGTGGCCGGAGTCACTTTGTCACTGGAGGTATAATTGTGAAGTTTGTCGCATTTTTGGAAATATAAAAAAGAGGTTACATTTTTTCCTTTTATCCTCATTTTTGTAATATTGAGGACAAAAGGCCAATATGGGTAATGTGCATAGATATGGGTAATCTTCTTTGTTAGTCTGACCAAATATGTTCTCGCTATATTAAAACATTCATTCTATCTTGATCTCTCTCGTATGTCACTTCACTACAATTCACCCTCCTAGGAGATGTCTTAAGTATTAAAACTCCACAACACATTCTAACACTAATAAAATATCATCACCGTCTTTAATTATTCTCACACCCACTGCATAAAAACACCACTTTCATCATTGCCATATTTACAGCATATGAGTTCAGACAATGGAAGTGGCTAAAATACGACATCAATAACCAAGGTGTGTGGTCTGTATCTTTGATGCTGGTTACCACAACGTGGCATTGGTCGTTGGAAGCTGGTGGAGATGGACATGGACTTGCAGTAAGGAAGTTGCGGCCGGAGCTTTGAGGATGGTGGCAAATGGATGAAGTTATTTTCTACTTTTTTATTGTAAAATTAATTATTATTGGAATTGCATGTATAAAGGTTACGTACTTACGAGTTACGTCCATCGGTCCATCCATTTACTAAATTTTAGGTTATACTTCGTATATGAAACGTAATGGTTCTGTTTGCGCATACTCTGAGAAGTTATTCTTACGTTTCAACTTATATTTAGATAAATGGTCTTATGGCCATAGTGCTTTCTATTATGACATTGTGAAATAACGACTTCATCTTACATAATTGTAGGATATTCAGCAGGGTGCATACAAATTCAAACCTAAGAAGTAAGAAGGGTACAATATACGATAAGATACAAGAAATCTTCAGAAGAATGGATGAAAAAGCATGAAACTTTGAATAGCGCATAATGTTGGAAGATTAGTCATTAATCTTCATTAAGATCATCACCATAGCCAACTGCAGCTGCCTTCAAAACTGTGATGATAATCCTAAACCCACACTTCTTGTAAAGATTCCCAGTAGATTAGAGTAACCTAACCATCTCGCAATCCATTAAGAAAGAAAGGCTGTTGATTCAGATTTAACATCTGTATTGCTGTATGGACAAAAGAACCTGAAGGAAAGAAGCAATGTGCAAAAAAGAAGTGTTGGAGCCAACCATTTATCATCTCTGCACAAACAAGAGCAAAAAAAACATGATGGGGACCTGGGCGAGCAGATTTCTCACTGGTTTTTAGTACATTCCCCCTTCACTTTCACAATCGTTGGTTCTCAACTTTTAGTGGAATTAGTTCACCCTCTTGCTGTTGTCCACCCCTTGACCTTAAACTCTTGGGGAGCCATCTCCGCACACATTCTGGCAATCTGGATAAACCCAAATATTCATAAACAAGAAATATACTAATGGGTCGTTTGGATGCACTTCTCATAAAAGGTATTTTTACTAAATATAAATACGAGTCAAGGTCAGGCTTACAGGTCTAATCTTTCATAAATTGCCCGACGCACTGATGAGTTGAGGCCATACGCTATTGAGTTAAAGAGACCCTATTCACAAGTGCAGAAAGAAAAGAGTATAAAACCAGTACTTGCTAAGTTGCTAGAAGAAAGACAAGGATTAAAAGCCATGATAATTTATTATTTGTAAAATTAAAATGGAAAATGGCACTTTTTGCCCCCAAGTTATACCATTGTCATACCATCGGTACACTCCTGGTCCTTGAATAACTGAACTCTCCACCTTCACTCCCCTAGTTTCCATCAAAATGGCATTTTCACCTCCATTATGGTTTCAAGTTTATTATGGAAATGAGCCACCTCGGGGGAAATTAGGTGACTGGAAATGGATGGCCAGTACTTTGAGGAATAAAATTGAGCATATGTTACAGTTCAAGGGCTAAAACTATTATTTTTCAAATCTAAAATTAAGAAGATATGACTGAGACTGGATATTTTTTTCACAAGTAGGATTTGCTTAGAAGTATAAACTAACCATTAGTGCAGCCATACCAACGTCAAGTACTGAAAGCCAAAATATTTTATGGTCTGGCTCAAGAAAGTCATGTATGCGATTTATTGTGCCAAAAAACCATGAACCTATCAGAATAAGTGGATAATATCCCCATCGGTTGAGCGCCTATCATAGGAAGTTACATGTGAAGGCAAAATATAGTTAATAGCCATTCCAAGGAAAACAATTAAGCAAATTAAATGAAATAAGCAAACACATATAACACTGCGTAACGAAGTATTTTACTACACTCAACGATCCTTCAAAATTGAAGCACTATGTTAACCGTGGAAATTCGCAACTACAGGAACTACGAAAATAATAAATTGCTTATAATGACGGCTGGTGTAGCACTCCATATGTCGATAAACTACGCTTGCAGATTTCATGAAGAGTAAATTTTATGCTCTGTTCAGAACTTAGGATAGGAAGAGTAATAGTGAAGAAATAAATAAGGACAAGAGCAGAAAACAAGAGGATAGATAATAAGTAGAATTTATTAAGTTGTTTGGATGGAGAGAAATGGGAAAGAGTTTCATAAGAAATCAAAGTGAGGGTGCATGATAAAGACATAATTATCCTTGTTAATTTCATGATGGAATTGAAAGTAAGAGGATTAGCGAATAATAAAATGTAAGAAAAGGCATAAATAAAAGAGAACGAAAGCTTTTTGTATTTCAGAATGAGTCTGTAAGAATGAACGTACATTTCTCACGGTAGAGCTGACTATTTATAGGGGTCCTCCAACGGATAAATCCTTAAACCTACTATTAGATGAAAGCTATTAAGGCTGCCTGTTACAGAATATTTGCTAGTTAATGAAACAACTGAAAGACATGTTGACCGCTGTGCTTTTCCAGACAAACTCTTGTCAAGCCTCTCTCAAGTAAAACCGTTCAAACCCTAGATTTTGGTTTGTTCCGCCGCCTGGTTGAACTGATCATTTAATTGAATAACAATATTCATACGGGTGAAGCGCTATAAGTGGGCCATTTTGATTATCTAATGGGGCCCATACTTACTTTCCATCATGTTCTCCCAAAATATGTCACTTTTAGAAGAGAATCTTAGGTCTCCACCCCCATACCGTGTTAAGGTATGTTGAGGGCTTATCTATGTAATGTAATGCAATAGATTGTGTAAAGACAATGCAATAGGGTTTAGGGTTTAGAGTTATTTTCACATTTGTGTTATTGTCTTAGCATATTATTTTTTCTTGCATCTGCATGGTCTGAGTTGAAGAAAAACAATCTCCAAGAAAGAGAAACGTGGCATATTGGTATCAACCAAAACAAAGGACTCTTTTTTCATTGGGAATAATGAAGTAGGAAGAGAATAAACAGCGCCTTCAACCAAACATGCTGTTAAACTCAGCATACCTTCATATCTGTCCGTGCATCTGACATGCCAGCTGCCATCTGAGCATAAAACGTAAACAAATATAGTGAATATCTCATTTTGGACTTCCATAAACTAAATCAAGAGAGAGGAGAGCGAAATTGAAACATACACGAGTTGCATTGTTAAGCATCCGAATTACTTGAAAGTATGTGATGCCATTAAATAGGATTGCAGCCCAAAGAGGTGCATAAAAAGTAACAAAGTGAACTGCCTGCAGTGAGAATAATTTATATTTTTGCACGTTAAATAACCATTCCCACAACTTAATACAATCCACTGCATCTGCTAAGCATAACCATTCATAGTCAGCACAGAAATATGCAAAGGCTACTAATAGGACAAAAGGAGGAGCCATGGAGAAGGATAGAAGAAGTTCATTGTAAGGCCAAGCCGAATAGTTCTGCTTAAATTTTTCTTTAATGTTGACTTTTCAAAAGTAATTTTATCAAGGAATAGGGTTTTAAATACATCAATTTGATAGTATGGACTTGCACATTATATTATGCATAGTGGGGGGGCTAACTTGGACAAAATTCATATTATTTATGTTTGCCTTGCTCAAGAAAGATAATATTTTACCTGAGGCAACTAGGAATTTCATTTAAGGCTCCGTTTGTATTCTTGAAAATATTCTTTTAGATTATCTGTTGTTTCGAAATATGAAAATTTTCTACTTCACTCTTTGAACTTTTATGGAAAATGACCTCCTCTTATGAAAAAGAAAACATCACATAAATTCTAAACAGAACCACATATTTCCCATGAAACCACTTTCCAAAGAAAGCATTTCCCACAATTTGTTTTTCTGCAATCAAACAGCGCCTAATCTAGAGAATGCATTCTGGAAGCATTGAACCTCAGGCAAATTGAATGTTGGGTTTTATCCTGTGATTTGGTGGTGCATTTTGGTGAAATAAATACACAAGCAAACAAAGAAACAAACAAACAATTGATAAATCAACGAATGAATATATATATATACACACACACACAGAGAGAGAGAGAGAAGTTCAGGTCCCGAATTCTGGACCGGAACCTCCGTCCGAACGGTGGCGTTTGGGCCTCTTCCCGGTGGAATTTTTTGATGAATTTTTTTTGGACATGTTCTTCTTCAAGTCTAGTTTATCCACGAAAAATTTCAGCTAAAAATTCATACCGGGAAGGCAGTCAAATAATTTTTGGAAGATAGCTGTGTTTTATAAACTAGACTTGATGAAGAACATGCTCAAAAAACTTTTGGCGCAGTTATCTTCCAAAAATTATTTAACTGCCTTCTCGATTGAATTTTTAGCTGAATTTTTTTGAGTATAAACTAGACTTGATGAAGAACATGCTCAAAAAACTTCATCAAAAAATTCTAGTCAGGAAGGGGCCCAAATGCCGCCGTCCGAACGGCGGTTTCGGTCAGGAAGTCCTGATAGGAAGATTAATATATATATATATATATATATATATATATATATATATATATATACATGTGAATGAGTAAATAACAAGTAGGTAATAAAATAATTATAGTAGCTAGATTACATAAACTTACCTTTGCTGCACGCCCAGTTTGTGCCCAGCATAAGGTGCCTAGACGAGTTATATGCCTATGGTCATTGCCAATAGAGCGTATAACTGTCATGACAATTGAAGTTCCTGCAAGTAGTTTAATAAACAAATTTAGTTATGAATGAGTGTGATACAAGAACATTGCATGAAAAAAACATAGAAGCTCAAAATGATAGAAAACAAATGATTTGATGTCTAATCAAACAAAAAACAGTTCCCCACACATATAAACAAATTATTTACTGTCTAAGCAAACAAAAACCAGTACCCCAAACATATAAATGAAAGACAGGCTCCAAATCTTCAACATCCGTTTTATGCCTAACAACAGTTCGGTGAAGGGTAAAAGCAATTGTGGTAGTCCAAAGAAAAGAAGCTACACAGAAGAAATGTGTTGTATAACCCTGAACATAACAAAAGAATCCTTTGGAAGGATCCCTGAGAAGAAACCAAACATCAATTCAGCAACCCACATCCACAACTGATAAAAGAAGACTGAATGCAACCTATAGTGGTACACAAACAAAACGTTCTTACCCAATTATGCTGAAGAAACTGCAGCACATATCCTACAACAAAAGTTGATGTGATGAAATTATGGTTTCATTTCCCAAAAGAAACACAACTAATCATCTTATGAATAAAGAAAACACTCATAATAACGAAAGTACAACTAAACCACAGTAAATATGAAGAAATAAACTAATTGCATTTATTATTAGGATTCTCCTGCGATTCAGTGCCTCACACCAACCAAACATGCAAAATTAGTATGGTACATGTTTTAAGAATTTACAATTTCATTTTTCTTTTTAACAAAAAAGGAGCCCATTCAAGTATTCAATAATAAACCATCCTAGTATTCAATAATAACCCATCACACCTATGGCAGGCTGGTGGTTCAAAGCTAAGTTAGTATTGAAAGACCGAGACTTGCTGACTTAAACCTATATGTGCAGATAATTGCTAACAAACTTTCCAGTTTTCAATTTACAGAGATATTCCGATTTAACTTTTACTTTTATTTTTCCGCTTTCCTTTTAAGATGTATGAGCAGAGTAAGCAGTGCAAAACCCTAGACACTTGAACACTACTATTGATGACAATGAATAAATAAAGTAGCATTTTGAACGAGAAAAGTAAAGAAATTGAAAGAGTACGGATAGCGCGAGGAAGAAGACAAGCTTGAAGGAGAACTTTCGGAGCTCCTTGAAGAGCAAATAGCACAACGCTATGAATCCGGACCCCATCAAAGACAGGCTCGAACCGCCGGTATTCACCGCCGTTAACACTTGCCGCTCCATCGTTGTAAGGTTGCCCATGACCGCCTGCATAGTTGCCATGGCTCTCCTCCGTTTATGTCAGAGATTTCTCGGATTATAGATGCCCCAAAAAACATGCACCATATAGATTTTGCTCTGCTCCGGACTTCTCTGTAAAGCTATAAGAAGCGAGGCATACGTTTCCATTAGATAGTTGTAGTAAGTACATGAAGAAAAAATAAATTGGGAGGTCCGTAAGTCGCTTTGGCCGAGTGGTTAAGGCGTGTGCCTGCTAAGTACATGGGGTTTCCCCGCGAGAGTTCGAATCTCTCAGGCGACGGTTTGTTTTGAGTTAGCTTGTACCCATTTTTACCCCACACATTGTGTGCCTCAAATGAAGTCACCATTTTTACCCTATTTTAGCCACACAATATGAGAGGGTAAAAATGCGGGTACCTATAATATTTTCCTTTTATTTTATACTCCGCTGCCTTTGACCAGATGGTAAGTCTAAATCAAATTCTTCTATGTTTAAATTATCCCATTATCAAATATCAACTTTTTATAATTTTAACTACTCTGCAATACATATTTTGTAAAAAAATATATGGTAGATTTTACCTTATTCATAAGGTGTCATATCTTTGTCCACATGGACCAATCAAAATGTTGCAGTTGAATTATTTGAATTTAAATTGAAAATGGTGTACATGTTTAGACTAATCAAGTGAACGGTAGGTACGGTACCCCATTTTTTAAATGGGTACCGGAGTTCTAACCAAAATATATTTATAATCAAAGTTGTATGTCGACAAACGTGAAAATCAAATTGTTGTAATCAGAAAAAAACTAGAACAATATATAAATGTTCACAAGATGCTAATGTTATTATCTCTTCTCCTTGCACGTTTAAGTATGATTCCAATGATATTTTCATAGAAATGTACTTTCTAAATGTTTTTATGCTTGAGGAAATCATTGTAGAAGCTTTGTCAGAGACTAACTTTCAAAGTGATTTTTTAGAATTAACTTCCAATGTGATCTTTAGTCTGGGGCGGACCCAGAAAAGTCGGGAGGCGAAAATATTTTTTTGAGGGTTCAAAATTTTTTTTGGGAGGGAGAAAATTATTTTTCATATATATATATTTATATATATATATATACAAAAAAATGTTGGGGCGGTAGCCCCTGGATCTCTACTACGATCTGTCCTTGTCTTTAGTGTTACATCTGATTTATTCACTCTTTCTTATTTTCTTATGTCATTGCACTATTCTTTTTTAGTATGTACTAGTATAGTACCCGTGCATACGCACGGGAAAGAACAGTCAGTGCATATTTTCACTCATTATCTAATTATATATTAAAATAAAAATAACTTTAATTGTTAGGATTCTACATTTTCGAAAAATAAAAGTACAATAACCTAATACAATAATATATAAGTTAATACAATAAATATTCAATGAAGAGTATATTAGGAAAAATTAATTAAGCACCACTCAATAGAATTTGCTACTTCTTAATTTTCATGATTAAATTAATTTTAAAATTAAATACTATTCTAAAAAGTGAATACAATAAATATTAAAATTAATGAATACTACGTATTAGTTATATAAGAACTTGCTACTCATTAGTTAAATTAGTGATAGCATATGAGAGGAAAATTATCTTACCCAATTCTTAATCGGCTTATTTGATACAAAAAAAAACTACACATGTGAGAAATTCTCTCACTCAATTGCTAGTTAGCCGGAACAACTTATACCTAAAAACACTACGTATGAGAGAAAACTCTACTGCTTAGAGCTGACTTATTTCATACTTAAAAGAACTACATATATGAGAATTCACCGCTCAATTGTTGGCAAATTTATCTTCTAATAATACCTAAAAGCACTACATATGAGAGATAAAATTATCCCGCTCAATTATTAGTAAGTTTATCTTATTATTATTATATCTAAAAACACTACATATGAGAGACATAATTCCCCCGTTCAATTGTTAGTCAGCTCATGTTATACCTAAAATCACTACACATGGGCGAGAAAATTTCTCCAATCAATTGTTAGCTAGACTATCTGATACTTAAAAAGAACTATATATGAGAGAGAAAGTTCGTCCGGTCAATTATTAGCAAACTTGACTTTTTATACCTAAAACTCTTACATATGAGAGAGAAAGTTCTCCCGCGCAATTGTTAGTCTGCTTACCTTATCTCTAAAAGTACTATATATGGGAGAGAATAATTCTTCCACTCAATTGTTAGCCAGTTTATCTTAGAGAGATAATTATTCTGTTCAATTGTTAGCAAGTTTAATTATCTTCTAATACCTAGAAGAACTACATATGAGAGAAAATTATCTCGCTCAATTGTTAGCCGACTTGTCTTATACCTAAAAGCATTGTATATGATAGAGAAAATTGTTAGACGGCTTATGGCTTAGTCTTTGTTATATCTAAAAACTTATATCTAAAAGCACTATATATATATATATATATATATATATATATATATATATATATATATATATATATACACACACACACACACACACACACACACACACACACACACACACACACACACACACACACACACACACATATATATATATATATATATGGGATGGTTCCGGTGAGAATGAAGTCACAGGAGAGAAATGAGAATGAAATGTAACCATAGATTTCATTGATCCAATGGATATTAAAAAAAGATAACCGAAATCTACTAGTCTCACTAATCGGCCAATTTAAGCTGATTTATAAGGGAAGTCTAATATTATTGGATACTAGGGGCATAAATGTCTAACTATGGGATAAAACCATTTGGCACGTTTGTTGTGTTTTGGAATCTTCCGATTATTTAGAAAATCAATTATTATGCAATGATTATCATCATTTATTACTTTAGTAAATATTGAAATAGGTTCTCTAAAATAGGTTCTCTAAAATTAGTCCTTCATCTTTTTCATAAAAACCTCTTGCATTCTTATTTCTTTTCTCTTTCTTTCTTTGACAATCAGAAACATGTTATGCATGGACTTTAATATGTTTTCACATATTTGATCTTCCTCTTAACCACACAAAATTCGAAGAAGGAGATGTCTTTTATGTCTTTTGGTACGGTGCACTATAAAAATTGTGTTGTGCATAATTTCTAATTTCTAATGCACTTCAAATCTATATTAGAATCATACTAAATATGACGGTGCACAATAATCAATATAACAATGCACTATAGTGCATGATATTTACAAGCTGCATGATGCTCCTTAAAAGTTAAGCTCGTACAGTTTTAAATGTGGATGTGCAATAACTGTATTTTAAAAGTGGATTGTTGATTAATTATAGTGTAAATTATCTAAATGTACAAATATGTAAAAGTGCAACAACAACAACAACAACATCCAAGCCTTAGTCCCAAAAGATATTGGGGTCGGCTAACATGAATCGATACATGATATCACAACCAAAAGGAAAAGAAGGAATAAAGATAAAAAGATAAGCTATTATGAAAAGATAATATAAAAAAGATGACTATATATAAAAATGATAAAATAAAAAAGCTGCAAATAATGCATATATATATATACAAGGATAAAAAAAAACTAGGAAAAAAAAGATGAGGGAAAAAGATTATCAAGATCACTCCTTCACGTGAATACCCGCCCTCCACTTAGTTCTCTCCAAAGTCATGCCCTCATCCAACCCCAGAAGAAGCATATCACTTCGAACTCCCCTATTTAAAAATTAGCCGACTTATCTTATACTTAAAAGAATTACATATGACTGACAAAGTTCTTCCGCTCAATTATTAGCACACTTATCTTCTAATATCTAAAATCACTACATATGAGAGAGAAAGTTCTATCACTCAATTGTTAGGCGCTTATATTGCACCTAATAACATTATAAATGATAGAGAAATTTCTCTCGCTCAATTGTTAGCCTCCTTAATTATGACCTAATCTTCTTATACCTAAATTTTTATACCTAAAAACACTACATATGAGAGAAAAATTTCTTTCACTCAATTGTTAGTCGGCTTATATAAAAAAGCACTACATGTTGCAGAGAAAACACTTCATCTCACCTGTTAGCCGGCTTATCTTATACATTAAAGAACTACATATGACAGATAAAGTTCTTCCGCTCAATTGTTAGCACACTTATCTTCTAATATCTAAAATCACTACATATGCGAGAGAAATTTCTCTCACTCAATTGTTAGTCGGCTTACCTTATATCGAAAAGCATTACATGTTGCAGAGAAAATACTTCATCTCACCTGTTAGCCGACTTATCTTATACTTAAAAGAACTACATATGACTAACAAAGTTATTCCGCTCAATTCTTAGCACACTTATCTTCTAATATCTAAAATCACTATATATGAGAGAGAAAGTTGTCTCATTCAATTGTTAGGCGGCTTATCTTGTACCTAATAACATTATATATGATAGAGAAATTTCTCTCGCTCAATTGTTAGCTTCCTTAATTATGATCTAATCTTCTTATACCTAAAATTTTATACTCCATCCGTCCCATAAAATTCTTCCCAGTTCCCTTTTTGAGCCGTCCCAAAAAATTCTTCCGACTTACCATTTTTGGACAACTTGTGTGGTTCACATTCATTTCACCTTTCTTTTACATAACCACAACCATACATTTCCACTTTGTTCCACTTTCTTAATCTCCATGCCAAGTCAAAGAGGGAAGAATTTTATGGGACGAAGGTAGTACCTAAAAACACTACATATGAGAGAGAAATTCCTCTTAATCAATTGTTAGTCAGCTTACCTTATATCAAAAAGCATTACATGTTGCAGAAAAAATACTTCACCTCACCTGTTAGCCGGCTTATATTATACTATCCTCCGTTCCGTTTTAATCGCAACACGTTGAATTTTACACTATTCACATGTTCTACTTTGACTACGTTTCACGTTATTATTTTATGAAAATTATTTTTTTTAAAAAATATTGTTCAATTCATCTCATTACAAATTTTCAAAAACTGATTTTTAATATTTTTTTACTAATAGAATTAAGATATAATTACGGTCAAAGACATGCGTTGGCAAATGTGAAATGTTGACCGTTGCAACTAAAAAAGAACGGAGGGAGTACATAAAAGAACTACATATGACTGACAAAGTTCTTCCACTCAATTGTTAGACAGTTTATCTT